TATGGCCTAGATTTTTGTCCCCAACCTCTGACCAGATTGTAGGTTCCTGGCTATTTTGTTGGAATGGGGAATGAATCTGAGTAGCCTTCCAGGGAACCTGTGATCATACAGGCCCCAAAAGCAAGTTAAAAGATAAATATTTCTGTGGAAAGGCTGTACTCACTTTCTACAGAAATCAAGGGAAAGCTAATTTGGCCCAATTCTAAGAAGCCCTCCTGGTTTCAGAGTCCTTGGAGCACTTCCAAAACACAAAGTATGTAAAAAAACCCAAACAAACAAACAAACCCACAACAGTTTAAAAAACCTCATTCTCCATCCCCAAAGAGAAATATTGGTAAAGAGAGGGTTTTTTCCCCAGCTTCACATTCAGCTACATAGTTTGAGGCATTACTCTATATGGGTAGTATGTGGAAAACATTCAGGAGCAGTGAGATTGAAATGATGTCAGCTTTGAAAGGAATGTCCAGGATAATGACATTGGGGTGTCCAATTTGGGCTCATGGGACCAGGATTCTGGGAACAGGGTTTATGTCTAATTTCTGTTTACTCAATGTATACTCAGTCAAACAACACTACAGTTCTGGAAGACGCCTAATAGTTTCTAAATTATAGAAGATGAAGAGGACCCTAGAATACATCTCTTACTATTTAAAGGGATACTACCCACTCTTTATGGACAGTATTTAACACTTTCAAAAAAATAATGATAAGAGTTGGTCTGAATTTGTTTAGCTAGCAGTTTAAATGGGAGCAAAATTAGGTTGTTACTGAAGTCTCCAAAGATCTTATTTTTTTCAGTTTGACTCATCACTTTGTGGTGTATGAGGGTGATTTTTTTTTTTTTTTCATGATTTATTATCAGGAAGAAAAGGGGAGAAATAAGTAAGAAAATGCTCGCACTTGTAGCAGCACTTAAATCTCAGTAGTCCTTTTTTTGGTGCCTTTATTTATTCCTGCATCTGTTTTTAAACTTGCTCTTCTTTTTTCTTTTTTTTTTTTCTTTTTAAATCAATTACAACAACTGGTAGTTATTTAAAGACCTACCATTGTTTCCATTTTACAGAGAACACATTTTAAGGATGCATTTGTAACCATGGCCATTTAAATTCTGCTTTGTTGGAAGGACTTATACAAGCTGATAGCCTAGATGTAAATTATTTATTTCAAATTTCACTGGCCATGAACTTTAGTTTAAAAAATAGCATGTTGAACACAAAATTAGGGGTTTTTATTTTCTTTAGATGCCATGCCAAACTAACTTAGGTGATATTTTACTCTAGAAGATCACTTTTTTGTTACTGGCAATCAGCCTACGAGTGTTAAAAATTCAGTAACTTTGCATTTTGAGAAAGACAAGACAAGCTGAAGAGTTAAATGTAACGCTGGGTGCATGCCAGTGTGTGCTATACATGCTGTGTGCTATATATATATCTACAATGGAGAAACATTTTAAATTTTTTTATAGACATTCTTGATATTCTCTCCACACAATGTGTGAAATTCTGTGATCAGTTTTATTACTTTAGTTGGTGAAGATCCAATCTTAATAGTATCTTCTATCTGGTGGTTATAAGGACAAATTAATGCCTCAACAACTTATGTTTAAACATAACTTATGGTATGGAACAACAGTGTTCTATAAACACTAATAATAATTTTCTGTTCCTTCTTTGTTAAACTTGCAATGGAGCATGTACAAGTCTATTTTAATTTGACATTTCTACTGTCCTGACTGAGGGCTTAAAAGACACAGCAATATTTTTCTTTCTATAGATGATTGAAAACTAATATTCCTGCATATTATTGGCAGTAGAGTAAATACCCGCTTGGAAATACAATTTCTAAGGAGGTCATAATAAATTCAATTGCAACAGAGTTTTGAATGCCATTTTAAGTCCTTCATATATGTATGGTTGTGGGTGTGTGGATTTTTTTTAATGCAGCTAGGACAAAATGCAACTCGGATATTTCAGGTTCAGGAAGGGAATGCAACCAGAATTTCAAATGTGTTTGAACTAGAGCTTTTAGTCAATTGATAAGATACGGTTGAAAGATTTAGATCACTAGGAAAAGGATTTAATAGAGCATTTGCTTGTGAGAGGGAAGAAGAGTTAAGAAAACATGATGTCATTCTTATGCTTTTTACCAACCAACTTTTCTGCTGGAGCCAAGAGAAGTTCTGCTTGGCTAAGGCATATATGAATATCATACATGATAGTTTGACATATCGTATAGGCTTGACTTTGTATCTATATATAGTAGAAATTATATTTCTGTTCAAAGAATAATCCAGTCAGACTGACTCAAAGGCAAGCTCTGCAACTCATGCACTCATCTATGGAAAAACCTGCCTGAGATAACAGTCCTTTCTCCAGCAGCTAATTCTCTGTCTACTAGATAGTCTCTGAGTGTACAGGAATAAGGCCTATTTGTGAGCATAATTAAGTCCATATTGCCCCAACCCAGCACACATGATTCTCATAAGCATATCATGAATGAAAGAGACACAGGGGCAGCTTCAGTCCTGAGGCTATTGTAACAAATGTGGTGCAGTGTCAAGAGAGAAGATTTTAATCCTTTATTCAGTTTGTTTGTCAGTACTGGCATTCGGCCCTCTGGAGCTAAATGTTCCATGCTGTTTTCTTCCCCTTCATGTTTCAATAACAATTTTCACAAAAAGCATGTTTCCCACTTCAGAGCATTACAGGGAGTATAGTGATTATTCTCAGTCTGAGAGTGTGCCTGGAAATTTAGACATTTTCAAACTATTTTTGTAATGCTGTTCAATCTGATATTTCTTTTAAAGTCATGTTTGAGAGACTGAAGGGTCGCACTACATATTTTATTTGAACAGGTGGTGTCAGGACCATGTCAACATAAATTTTCATTGAATTAAAAGCAGGCTTTTGCAAAATCCAACGTCAGTGTTACTCATCTATTGATATCTAGCTATAAAGATATCTATTGACATATAGATAGCTACAGGTATTTATTGATGGATAGATCAATATATCAATCAAAATAGTTTGTTTTTCAAGCAGTAACATTCTTACTGGGATATGCAACCTAGATATTACAGTACTTGTTGCAGGAGAACCAGATCAAGAAAGAGATTCAGCATCTCCCTAAAAAGATAACTTGACAAGCCTTTTAACTTTGTTGAAAGTGATGATGAAGAATGTAACAAGTGACATAAAAGATGAATAACTAATAAGATTGTTTTGAAATGTTCTGAATATTAGAAACTTGTGAGATTGATATATTTTGTCCAATTGCTAATGATATTTGGTACTTTTCTGAAAAAGGATGCTTGTAGTTATTGAAAATTCATTACCTTTAACTTGAAGTCCAGAAGCTGGCCCAAAAGCTGAGCTGTGTTCAGAGCATATACAGAGAGAAGAGTTTATCCTAAGCCAAAGCACTTTGAAACCTCTCTGTGGGAACTCTTGCATCCCATATTTATCTGTGTTGAGGAATTCAGAATTGTTCCCATACGACAGCCTCGGTGCCATCAGTATGCCCTGGGAATCTCTTCTGGCAAGGTCCAGATCTCTGTATCTGAACAAGAATAATGCACTGGCTTTAGGAGAAGGTAGTTCTCTGCATTCATGACCTGTAGTGTTGTCCTTTGCCTACAAAGTCAATCTCCACATGGGCCTGACTGTGAAACTTCATTCCTCACAGTGTAAATATTCCCACTGAGATCAATAAGTGTTTGTGGAGTAAAACATTACTCACTGTGAGTAAGAGCCATATGATATGAGATAACAGGTCTGGCACTAAAATATGTTTTCGTTTTTTTTAGGGGAGTATATTCTCACATGTTGGTTTCTTGTTTTTGCTTGCACCTGTTATGTGCACAGAATATTCCTTCAAAATAAGTAATTGCACAGCTTAGTATTGGATACCATATATAAACGCATATTAGTCTTTCTCGTTCCATTACCTAACTTACCTGTGTAAATTCAGGTTAACTGCATGTGTAGTTTTGCCAGTGGCAAATTGAGTATTTCAAAATTTAGCCTTGGGTGTGCTCTAGGGAATTATGCTATAAACACGTGTTGTTTCTTCATTCAAGCTCTCAAGTCTATTAGAAATCCAATATAAATACTTGACTCTGCTTTATTTCATAGGATAATCCTTCAAAATTACAGACCTAATCATTATTAATCCTTTTGATATTTATTGATTGCATTAACATTAATCATGATAAACACCTTTAATATTAATGTGGATGTCACTGGTATTGTACTTCAGACTGTCTGCTGTAACTCAGCCCTCTTTAACAGGACCATTAGTTACTAGATGTTAATATTTTTTGTGTAAACAACTCCATGCCTTTCTTGCAGAAACGAGGAGAGTAAATGTATATAAACTGTTCACTAAATTTTGAAAACATTTTGCTATTTGTAAGACTAGGTTTTTCTTTTCTTTTTTTTTTTCTTTTTTTTTTTTTTTTAAGTAAATAAGTTACATGAGGTTATTGCATATATCTCTCAAAACCTAACTCAATTTTTGCTTGGACAAGTTAGTGTACATAATCATACTCTATTGTCTTCAAAAGTTGACAACAAGCCTGAGCTGTTTTTTCTTCAAGTTTTCTCTGTATAATGCAAAGATCCAATTCATGGAGCTGTTGTGCTAGACTTTGCGGAGTGCTTATCTCCCTGGGTGGTCAGGTTAATTCAGTAGCTGGAATCAGTTCTTAATGTTTGTCACAAGGCCCAGGGGTAGGTCTCATTTTTGAGGGATAATTCATTTCTGGGCAAGGTGGACAGGGCATTCTTCCAGCTTTTACCACAAGACAGATCAAAGTGAATAGAGAAAGCTCATGATTCTAATGAATTTTACATCTGAATTACTCAATGTGCAAGACTTTATCCTTCTTTCACTTGATTGAACCTGTTGTGATTCAATTCCCAGTGTCTGTGTTTCAGCAGTAAAATAGGCCCTATGCACTGAACTGCTCTCACCTTGAATATCTCTGTGTTTTCTTACAGCCTGTGACCTGATGAACCAAGGCATCCTGGCCCTTGTCAGCTCCATCGGCTGCACGTCAGCAGGATCCCTGCAGTCACTGGCAGATGCCATGCACATCCCTCACCTCTTCATCCAGCGTTCAACAGCAGGAACACCAAGAAGTGGCTGCGGGCTGACCAGGAGCAACAGGAATGATGACTACACACTCTCCGTCCGCCCTCCTGTCTACTTAAATGATGTCATCTTGCGGGTGGTCACAGAATATGCCTGGCAGAAATTCATTATTTTTTATGATAATGACTATGGTAAGTATTTACTTAGCAGGGTGATTTTTATCAAATCCATAATTCTGTTGAAAGCAGTCACATTACATCTTTATAGTCTTCCAATAGTTCATGTTTTGCTTGTGAACATTTATGGTTCTGTCAGCATTTCATAGAACCTCAGAGAAATCTATTTCTAAAATCCCTCAATACTTACTTGTTTATTTGATAATTTCTTTGTTGGAGTTAGCTGATCAATGGAGAAATTATCTACCTGGCTTTCTATTCTGCCAGTGGCTGAAGCATGAAAGTTTTTAGCAAGCTCTCCTGTTTTTTGGACTGCAGAAATATATAAGATGACAATTCAAGAGGCAATGTGTAAGATTTTACATTCTGTAGAACTGTCTATTGTGTGGTGAATCTCTCCTGTTTGTTGACATATATTTGATGGCCAAAAGCTGAAGAAGTGGTGAATGTAGGCCAGAGGCCTCTGCAAGAATAAGCTGCTATGCGTAAATATGAAACTTGTAGAGAGAACTTCTGTAGAGCAAAGAACTTGAGGAGGGGGGCTGGAGAAGACAATGTTCCTTCTTTTTTGAGGTCGTTCCGTTCCCAAAAGGTGCTGAATTGATGGTGGTTGTGTGATAAAGTAAGTGCTACACAGATGGCAGCATCACAAGACTGCACCATCCATCTTGGTGACTCAGCTGAGTTTGGTACAGATATTTTATACAGCTGAAGGGAGATCTGGACAGATTTCTCTAGTATAGGTGCATTATCTAGCTAATTTTATGATTTTTTTTTCTATGGAAAGTTGCTTTGAAACTAGACCTGTTTTCTTCAGATACATCCATTATTCATAAGCAATCATGATTGGTTTGGATGAACATTTTAAAACTTGTTTTCAAAGTTAAATCTTTAAGTTATGGAAAAATGCTCACTTCAGCAATTTGCTGTGCGTAATATCTGGTTCATTCAGGTTAGGTGTTATTGATTTTTGTTCTCTGTCTACATAATAAATTTTTTAATTAGAATGATAGAAAATTATGAATAGGAGGATGCCTATTTATAACAAAGCAACACCTAAAAGCATTAGCCATGGGACGAGGAACACATACCTAAAAAGGCATCCAAAATGCTTGCAGCAAAGAGTATGTTTGTTCATGTTTTATGAGTTTGTGCATTTAAATACCAATGAAGAAGGCCATAATCTTGCCAGATAAAAAATATCTTTTTGCATTTACTTCTGAGTTTAAAAACTTCAAACAGATTTTATAATTAATATTTTTAATAATTATATTTGTAAATACTAGTTTTAAATTATTCAAGTTTCAATATTTAACCTGAGAATGCAGTTCGGACACTATGTCATTTTGTCCTTGATTTCTGGGTAAGAATCCCATTGTGTTGTGACTTACGTAACACAGATGCCTGCCTGCAAGGAATAAGTTTCATATCAGTATCTTATTCAGTGAGACATCATCCTCAGACATGACATGTGGCAGATACTAAGTTTTTCTACCAGCCTCTATGGCATTTGAACTTTGGTAGTCTACAAGTAATGACATACTGGCCACTGATTGCTATCACATACATGCAAAAAAATTCTGCATTTACTATATACTGAAGAGTCTGCCCCCCTTTCCCCTAACCATTTCTGTGGTTTGGGTGTTTTGGATGGGTTTTTCTGGGTTTTGTGTTATCTTTATTTGTTTGTTTGTGTGTGTGCATAGTTTGGAACTAATACCATGAATAGAAAGATTTTAAATGCAACCTGAGTTCTAACTGAAACTGCAACTCTGAATAGGGCTGTTATCTGTGCAAAGGTATGTTTCTTGAAATTTGCGAAATTCTTGATTTCAACAGCCATCCAGAGCAGTAGACAGTTTATATTATCTTTTCGCTTCCTACAGTTTCTTTATAAAATTTTTTGTTGGTGATTTCATTGACTATCTCCTCCTCCACTTTCAACAAGGAACAAGAGAGCAGAAGTTCCAGATCACCATCTCTGACCCAAGGCCTCTCTTGTTATTTCCGTTACCATGAGGATTGTTCTCTGTCTTTCTGATCCCTCTTCTTGCTTGTATTGGAATGCCTCTAATTTCTCACTGCCCTGATTCAGATGACATCAATAGGCTTGATACAGTATTTTGCCTGTTCTTAATTTTCTTAGCCACTTTTTGATCTATAGCAGTAGTTTTCCTTGTACCCATGACATTATTTTCTTAGCAGTCCCTAGAGATCAATCTCCCCGGGAGTTTATTCTAAATCTTATCAAATTGTGTTGCTTTCTTCCCTTTTCCTGCTATTTTATTGATATATTCAAAGCATGTCCAGTATGTTAGCAGTGAACACTTCTTCCCAAGTTCTGTATTGACTGAAGAGGGGCTTCCACAGAGGGAGGGGTGGAGAAATTCCAGGTGTGAATTAATATTAATTCACTATATGGAATACAGAGTAGAGAAGTTCGAATTCAGTATTTATCATGCTCTGAGCAGGAGCTTGGACTGTGATCTTGTAAAGTCACATCCGGCTCTAATTATCCTATGATTCTGTGATGTTTGAGAAAGCCACTTAGTCAGATGGGTCTATAGATGTGAAATAATATTTTAAAAAAAAATATAATAATAATAATCCCAGCATCAGTTTGCATACTATAAAAGAGAGTTGGCCCAAGAACTCCAGAAGAGCTTGAGGAAGAGAATGTTACCATTAGCTTCTGTGCCTCTTTTAGAAAGAAATCAGGACTGGACATGCAGACGTAGGGTGGAAGTCCAGGGGTAGGCCATCCCGTTGGTCATTGTCAGTGCAGCTGAGGGTGGTTACAATTCTCTCTGGAACATCCTCGTCCCAGTCTTTAGTTTGCTTGAGAGGATCTGACGCAGTATGAGATTTGTTTCTTTTCTCAGCTCACACAGACCTAAATCAAATTATTTATTGGAAACCTTACTCAGTTTAACCGCTTACAGCAGTTAATATTAGACATTTTAATGTAACATTTAGTTATTAAACATTAAAGTCGATGGAAGATCAACACTTGCATTAGAATTAAATTCATATTAGGAAGAGATTATTGATACGTTCTGCACAATCCTCTGTAGAACTGACACTTGTGCAAACATAGTAATTTCTTGCCCTAGTGGTGTTTTCGTACATGGTGGTCTTTACTTCTCAAGGTGTGTATCATAACATTAAGTGATGTCTCCACAGCAGTAAATGGCACTTGAGAAGTAACAGGAATATAGGTTCTGATATGTGTTAATCCATTATCTTTTCTCATCGTTGCCATCTTTTTTTAAGTTAGAAACAATTAAAATGCTGTTAGATTGATTCCAGCAACCAGAAGATTTCCAGTACTTTCCTTTTTGATAAATTATTTTGTATAGTGATTTAATCTAACAATTTATAACAAAATACTTTGGCTGTACCACGGAAATTATGTCTAGTAATAATCTTGCTTTGTGAAAGAAAATGTGCCTTTCATATTTAAAACAAATTTCTTACAGTAAAATTGGGCCTATATCCAAACTAAATACTGTGCTAAACCAAATCCCTTGCACCTTTAAAAGAGGCTGCAACCACTTATGTGTCAAGTTATCAATGTAATGAATTTTTAATCCAATGACTTGAATTGCTTTTTATTTTTATCTTGCAGTCTATCATAGATTTGTTTTCATTAGCAGAGAGCTAGAGAATTGTTTATAACTGGAAATGTATCTTTCTGCAGGGCCGAGAGTTATTTCCCCAGCGTTAACCTTTTTTAAAACTGCCAAATTCTTTTTTGAATATAAGTAGATGAGTATATTGTTTTAACATTTTAACAATTCTGTATAAATGCTAGAAGACTTAACTCTAAAGGTTCTTTACCAACAAAGTAAGTTAGTCTTTGAAGGAAGCAATTCTTTAAGTCAGAACTAGCTCAGTGTTGAAGAAGTGATGTAGAAATGCATTTATGAAATAATTGACATTTGAGTTTTTAATTGATGGGGTTTTTAAAGTAAAATTGTAGGTAGGCAGACTAGTCTAACACAAAACAAAAACCACCTTGATAGTAAAGAAGTGTTTTACTACTGTTGACTTAGTTAAGCTGAGTAACTAGTAAGGGATTTTAGTAAAGCACATAGTCTATTGTCAGTGGTAGAGCCTTGCCAGTTACAAATGTGAGGCTAACGCACAGTAAGAGGAGTTGAGAAAAGAGAACATTTTAACTTGAGTAGACTTAGGTGATGCTTGTATTTCATTTACTGCAACTGTATCTTTACCTTTAATGTATAAACTCAGATGAACTTGTGAAAATCAGAGTGAGATGAGTGTTCTTTTCCCTCATCCTTCCTCTCTGTTGGGATGATCTAGATCAAACTCCTGGTGAAAATAGTGCAGTCAGTTCCCTTGTATTCAGTGTGTTTTGTTCCTCGAGGTAACACAAGATAAAGGCCAGCCCAGGACATGAAATCTGATTTTTGTGTAAGAACATTTCATATGAGGATATAGAAAGTGTTCAAGGACAATTCCGCACTTCTTCAAATGCCATTTAAAGAGTAGGCGGCATGAAATGCAGCAAAATTAAGCAGTCGATTGACGCCTTTCTCAACCTGCTATTAAAATTACTATCCACACAGTATGTACAAGCCAAATTTACCTCATTTAAGCAGCCAGATCGACTCCTACTCTTTTCATTCTTGACTGTTCAGCTCAAGCTGTAGGATCACTGTGCTGCAGAGGGTAGCTGTGCATCTCCTTCTTACAAGCAGGTGTAGAGACTAGGCAGTTCCTCCGCTAAGTCTCTGAACTCTTCCTTAGGACCATCAGTACCCTTTTCAGTGAAGGCATTTTCAGACTGTGCACTATAAATGTATAACTTACACCTTTGGAAATTGCAAAGTTTAGATTTATAAAAAGAGCCACTGACATCTGTAATCATTTTGAGCAAGTTTTGCCAAGTTATTATATCTTTATGGTTTCAAGTTCAAAGCAAACAAAATGCAGTTTGAAACAGCAAACCTGCTTACACCACAGAATGGCATCTGACAATGGCCGGCCCC